CCGTCAAGTCCCAGGTGCGACGCGGTGTCCTCCTTGATGAGAGAGATCTGACTCCCCATATCCAGTAGCGCGTTCACCTTCTTTGTCCCGCGTGGTCCGTGCACACAAACGGGCACGATCTGCAGCAGCATCTGGTCCTTTCGTCCCACTGAAGCGACGCCGACCAGTTGAGATTCTTCCGTTGGTGACCAGTTGTCCTCTCGTCTCGCGAAGTGTGAATTTCCTGCATACCGTGGAGCAGGCGGTGATGTCTCCGGCTGTCACAGCCGTTTACGGAGCATTTCTGGACAGAGACGCATTTCCGGGCACGATGGTTGAGCTCTAGACAGCGGAAGCACATGGCCCGTTTCATGGCGGCCATCGCACGTTCGTCCACCGACAAACGAGCAAATTCTTCACAGCTCCCAGCTCGATGTGCCCCGCCACGGAAACCGCACTGCCCGTCCTTGACTTTGTCCAGCGGGAGGGTCGTGGCCGTCGCCGAAACGCTAGCCGGCCGGCCGGTCCGATCTGATGGCCTTATGGCCCAATTACGGCGTCCCGTTTCCCGTCCGCCGTCCGTCTGGGCGGCCGTTCCGCTGACCACAGCACGCGCCGCCGACACCTGCACTCGGATCCATTCGTCCAGATCAGTCACCGAGGGTTCTCGATGCAGAATGCTTTGGAGATGCCCTCCCCATTTCCATGCGAGAGATGTTGGTAGTTTTGTCACTATCGCTGTTACTTTCGTGGATGGAGCTAGGTCCGCGTCGTAGTGTAGTGATTTCAGTACGTTCACTGTTGAGTGGAGGACTCGCGATAACTCGGTCAGTCCTGGAATGTCACTGTTCCGTACGGCGGGGAGATCCATCACACTCCTCCAGCTCGCCTGAATCACGGTGGTCCGGCTTCCAAGTTGGCATCGTAGTTCTCGTGCCGCCCCGCTGTAGAGGCTGCCGTCACACAGGAGCCCACCGATAGCATGTTGCGCTGGTCCGGTCAGGCTGGATTGGAGGTGAGCCAGGCGCTCCGCATCAGATAATTCACGACGATCATGCACTAGCGCTTTGAAGAGCGCTATCCATCGAGGCCAGTGCAGAGGATCGCCGTTGAATTTCTCCAGTGTTAACCGTGGCAGATGGCACGGGAGCGTACCACCTCCTTTCCATGGTGTTGAATCACCTGTCTTCTGGGCATGAGCTTCCAAGGCATCGATCCAGGTGCAGCGCGAGTGTGTCACCTCACGGGAATGTTCGATCTGAAGAGCCTGGCCACTCACCCAGCGTGCCGTTCGGCTGGCGTCGTTTGGAGTCGGTCGTGCCTGCTCATTGTTGTTGTTCTTTTTGCGTGCGCCTTCCACACGCAAGTTGACAGCGGTCGCTAGCGGTGTGGCTTCAGCTGCATCTCGGATGGACGCCGGGCGTAGTTCTCCATTTTTTTCTTCCTCGATAAGACGTGCTTGGAGTTCACACTGTTCAGCTTCGAAAGTCATGGCACGCAGTTTCCTTCCTGTTGCCAAATCCATCTTCTGCTGTTCCACCTGTCTCTCCATCTCCTGCTGCTGCTCCATCTCCTGCCGTTCTAGTTGAATCGCCTGTTGCGCTTGTGACAGGCGCAGCCAGGCGAGTGCCGCCTTTTGTCGAGCCTCGCTGGTTCTCGATGAGGCCGAAGCTTCGCTCCTCGTTCTCGACGATCTCTCACTCATGTTCGCAGAGTTCAATCACAGAGTCAGTCTATCGCAGTTCGGTTTCACCGGATAATTGGCGGATTTGCACCACAGGCTAATCACTAGTCACTAATAGATCCGGCCCGGAGGACCATTTTGTTCGGTATCGTTCGATCGCTCGTCAACACGCATCCGTCGGCTGATGCTATGTTTTGAGGTTTGAATATCGGGCCAGGAAGAGGACATACGCATCCTCTCCTTAGCGGCGCTCGCGAGACAACTGCACCGGTTACCGGGCGGCGCGGCCCCGCACAGAACACGACACATGTGGCGCAGTTTCCGGGCTGGCCCTAGGGCCGGGGTCGCAGGGACGGTAAACTAAACAAAAAATAAATCTACAGGGAAACTCGACAGAGGGCCGAGAAATGGAGATAAATCAGAGGCCCAGAGACAGGACAGCAAAGCCGACATTTCACAAAAAAGTCAACCGTGTAAAGGCAGATTTGTATGGAGCAGTGGTCATCGGCAAGATAATCCACTTAAAGGCTGCTTATACTCATCCTGACCTGATCTCACATGTTGAAATACCCAGCTATCCAGACCAGCAATAACGCGGCAAGGTTAGTTAGATGCACTCATGTTCCAAGTCCCAAAATTTGGATGTTCATGAGACATGATGCCGTTGGTCGACATGATGGTTGGTCGGAGTGCCGCTCTTTCTGAATTAGAGCGAACATATGGAGGCACTTATTAAGAAAAGTCGAGCCACATTATGCCGTTCTTCATACGCTCACTAATCAAGGGAGCCAGTCCACCTTATTGGTGACTGATTCTGAGACGTGATTTTTATCTGTCGACGAATGTTTAGTTTCCGATGGAGTTCATTACCACTTGATACTAAATGCTAAAGCATTTGTGATCGTCCATGAACGTTGGTGTATTTTCGGTCATGGCAGCTGTATACAGATGTTATATGACATTGAGCCAACTTTCGGGAGCTATTATTGCGTCCACCTGACATGATTCTAGCTTGTGGCTTCGGTGACCATCAACAGACACACATCTGGTGTCCCATCAGATACTACTGTTTCCTTTAAGACATTATATTTTAGCTTTCTGACTGATAACAAGAATCAGCTGTCCCTTCTCATAACTCCGGTGTGGAGGCACACCTTGTATTAATGTTAGTCACATTGGATTCAGCACGGTGAGTGACAAACACCGCTTCCCAGGATCTAACTCTCACATGCCGAGGTCGTCACGGCGCAAGGCCTACATCGCGACCAGGCTCGATGAGACTTGCCCACTCTTGCGTGTCTTTCACGCCTAAATCGGTAGTCACACAGCCATCCGACCCCCTGTGGCCGACTGCCTCTTAAGTCAGTCCAGCTTGTCTGACAGGCACCGGAGGCATGCCTCTGGACGGGCAAAGCTCAGGGTTTTGCACAGCGTTACGTGTTTGTTCTATCAATCGTTAGGAGCGTCGTCATAGTTTTCATTTGTCGCTATAGTGCGCTTGACGCTTCGTTAAGTCCGATTACCTTCAGCCCGAAGTGAGTTCATCGAAGAAAGGTAGCAAAATAAACGTACCGATTCCTATTGTTCTAGCAATATTTCGAGCCCCGCTGGTTATTGTATTAGATGCTGCATTACTCACGATGCGTGTAATCGCAGGCTGTCGCTCTTCGCTTTAATGTGAGGAATCTGGCTGGTCTTTAAGAATCGCCACTGCCTCGAGCACCGCCCATGTAATCATTACTAGCTCCTGCACTGCGGCTCGACTCAATGACTGCAGCTCCTCTATTGCTGCCCAGTGAGTACCATTAAGTGAAAGTTTCACCGCCATTTTCCGATTCCGTTACGTCGTCCAGGCAGTCCTGGGCACTTCATCCCAAACGGTCGCTGAGTGCCACACGATATTTCAATCGCCATTCATAACCTGGACACGCCGTTTTGAAAAACCCGTCGCTCCTGTCATCCTGTCGCAATTCACAAGTCATGAAGCCGAAGGCGACCCTGGAATTCACGAATAAGAGCTTTGGCTTTGGTGGGGGCATGCGTTAAGGCTGACTAGGGAGATTACACTGAATCAGCCGCACGACGTAGAAACCATACAAATTAATGTCATTGTATTCACTTAGTGTGTGATATAGCAATCATATGGTCGTTACTTAACTTACAAAAGTAATGAAACGCAGACTAAGGCAAATCACGAACTCTTCCACTGCGTAAACATGGCAGTTAACTCTTTCTCTGTGACGCGGAGTCCGAAGCAATTACACTTCCACGCTTAAAATCGCACCAATTAGTTAGGTCGGAGACCGATTACTGTTCCGGATGTCATCAACATTTGCTCGGTTCTTTTTTGAAAACTGTCTTGTTTGACGTCCCATGAGAGGGTGTGCATGAAAATATCTGTGGTTAAAACTGCACATAATTCAAGCTGACTGTAACGTCTGTTCACAGTCACTGCGTACAGATTTATTATCAGCCGTCCCAAAGTCATAAGTCGTAAACATCGGAGATGCGCATGGACTCAGTAAATTAGCAAAATGAACTGAATCGCTCGAAATTTTTGCAGAATCTACGATTGAACGCAAGCGATTCAATGACGCCTTGTCGAATTTGAAAGCAGATTAAAGTAACAATTTTACCGTCCTGCGCACGTGACTCACTGGGCTTTTGGGAAAGCTTTTTGACCTCAATGCACTGTATGATATTAAACTCGCCAGTGAAAAAATCTGTCACATGGAATAAATCATCCATTCACTGTAACACAGCACTAATAGCAATTAAATGCAATTCATGGGAATCTATATTATGGAAGTCGAGAATGTATCAAAGGCAACATCTGCCACTTTGCCTTGTTTGCACCAAATTTGATTTCAACGAACTGCAAATTTGATGCTTCTTCTGGCCGCTGCTGTGTGTCCGCTTGTGGTCCACCTCGACGTCGCTGAAGCGGTTGACAGCGATCAACTCGTCGGCATACAGGGCTGCAGCCGCCGCTCGGCTCCCATGGCACCGGCATGGTGTTCGCCGACACTACCGGCACGGTACGGAATGTTTGCCGAGTAGACATCGCGGGTGCGTCACAGAACGCTCTGGCTACAGTCGGATCGGCTTGACTTCAAAACATTCGGCGATGTCTTCAACATTCCAGGCACTACAAGAATGCGATAATAAAAGGCTTTTTCTTCAGAAGGCTCTCGTTGCCGAAAAACTCGTGCCGCTAGCGTTTTTTAATCATTGGTTTGCGTCTCAGCGAGTGGTTGAAATACGTTCGCGTCACAAATTTTGCTAGATTGTTAAAACAATGTGCTAGGCTTCTCGCCATTTGAGTTCTGATTTTCGACAGCCGACCTAAAGAAACGATGGTAGTAACTCGACAATCGAATCACCGCGACTCGGGTGAAACAGCGGAAGAAAACACACTGGGCACTATTCCAGAAGGACTCAGAATACCAACCCAACCGCAACCGCAGATGCCTTTTGTTTTTCATCCTCCGAATCCAATGACTACCGGCGAAGAATTCGGTAAGTACATCCGAATCCATATCGTGTGCACAGATGGATTATATGCTATTTGTGCGTGTTGCATCTAATAAATGTCCAATAAACGCTAAGCCCAATAAACAATCATCAGGGTGGTATATACGGACATTTCAGGGAATAGACGCCAAGAAAGCCGCTCAATGAGACCGAGGTCCTGACGATGATTAAAAGGCGTATCTTGTCGATGAGACCGAATGGTCATCGTGGTTAGAGCTGCACGACGTAATTGATATTGAACTTGCTAACTATTTCGTTTTGACGCACCTGTGTACATCAAGTTTGAAATTCGTATGATGAATATACACTGTTTCATATTCTTTGAAGAAATGGCTATCTTTTCTTGATTCCCCCCGCTCATTACATACTCGTCACTCACCTCAAGTCTGACCATATCCCCAGACATTGCTGAAGATACTGATTCAGTGCGCTGTGAGAGCGAAACAAAAGACACCGTCAGCGAGATTACCACCACAGCAAGACGGTCCGGTATGTCTGCTCCGCAAGAAGAATATGGTTATTTTCAGACGGTGTCTGCTGAATGTCATAGAAGGCGCGTGGCAGTTATCTGACTTTCTTTCGTATTTTCATCAGCAGACCTATTCACAGTGTTCCTCAGCTCGAGATCAAATTTGCGAGTGTTAGGGAATCTTGCAAGGTCATGTATGTAGTGCCCTCGTGAAATGCGGGCCACACCACACCAACTAATCGCACGGACGCCAGCAAACATTGATGTTGAATTTCATTGTTTACCGGTGCAAAAGGTGAACACGAAGAGGACCCGAACGTAAAGGAGCTCTGAGCTCTGATTATCACCTCAGCCCCAGTATTGAGAGGCAGATCTCCTCTAAGCAAACTTGAGTGCGCACGAGCCCGACACCAGAATATCCCCGAGTCTGGAAGACTTGTCGTAATCATCCGTGTTTTCCAGAGGACCCATCCCCATCGCGAGGTGGCACGGAGGTGGTGCGATTGCTGGCCAGTCTGCACGACCTCAGTCGACAGATGGAGGTCACGATGGTGGACTTGCGCGCTCAGCTGGGCTCCCGATTAGGAAACGAGGTGACACGTGTGACCACGCTAGTATGCGGATTTCTCTGTGCTTGGTATTTTGCATTGCATGCCGCAGGATGCATCGATATTCTTCGTGTTAGTAGCTGCAACCTGTGTCCGATGCGTAATTGGTAATGCAGCCCATGGGTGACGCACGCCTGTTGTGACTTAAATTCACTTTTGGCTGACTCTCTACATCGATTCCATGGCGATGTCCGTGAAGTTAGCATGGAGACGCAATATTCCAGTCTGATAATTTCTGTTGGAATTGCGATATCAGACCCATTTATCGCCTTCCCCCCACTCTTCATTTCGTGATTTGAAAAGACGAGCGGAGAGCGCGGTAGCGGTCACTGCGTGCTTCTGTGACTCACACATGTTTTATTACCCGCAGTCGGCAGCATGGGACTCTGGGGACTACACCGGGTTTGGTTCCTCCCTGCCTCACGACAGCGTGGCCAGGCAGAGACTGGCTCGGATGAAGGGAATGGTCAAGAAAACGTAAGATGGTTTTCCACTGGTAAAAGCCGCAGAGCTGTGTTTAGGATGATTTTAGTAATGGCATGCCTGAACGGTGAACTAGCATAACCAATGCGTCTCAGACGGGCTAAGATCAGGTCTTAAGGCACCCTGATGCAAGCTGCGTTGCCTCTCATTGCCTTGACTCATTCCTCCGAAGAATCAGGCGACATAATCGTACAGACGCAACACGCTGCAGTATTCCCTGCGCTGTTGAACCGGTGTAGCCTGATAACTACTGCAGTGTTTCCTGCGCTGCTGAGTCGGTGTAGCCTAATGACTGCTGCAGTGTTTCTTGCGCTGCTGAGTCGGTGTAGCCTAATGACTGCTGCAGTGTTCCCTGCGCTGCTGAGCCAGTGTAGCCTGATGGCTGCTGTAATGTTTCCTGCGCTGCTGAGTCGGTGTAGCCTAATGACTGCTGCAGTGTTTCGTGCACTGCTGAGTCGGTGTAGCCTAATGACTGCTGCAGTGTTTCGTGCGCTGCTGAGTCGGTGTAGCCTAATGACTGCTGCAGTTTTTCCTGCGCTGCTGAGTCGGTGTAACCTAATGACTGCTGCAGTGTTTCTTGCGCTGCTGAGCCAGTGTAGCCTGATGACTACAGCAGTACTCCCTGAGCTGCTGAGCCGGTGTAGCCTGATGACTGCTGGAGTGTTCCCTGCGCTGCTGAGCCAGTGTAGCCTGATGGCTGCCGCAGTGCTCCCTGAGCTGCTGAGCCGGTGTAGCCTGATGACTGCTGGAGTGTTCCCTGCGCTGCTGAGCCGGTGTAGCCTGATGACCGACTGCGGCCACCGTCACTCACGCCTCGCCGCTTGCAACAGGTGGTCAGGCGTGGTTTCTCGGCTGCTGCTGGCGTGGCAGCTTCTCTGCTTGCGCTACCCAGCCGTGACCGTGCGGCTGGCCGAGATGGTGCGACGTGTTCGACCGCTGCTGGTGCCGCTCGGCTATCTCGTGCTGGCGAACGTCATGTACGGCGCCTACCAGACGCACCGCCGCCTCGTGGAGCGACACAGACAGCGCGCCGTCGCCTGGCTCTAGCGGCACTGGGCCGAACTGATGGTGTCGTCGGCTCCGGATCGGTGGCGGCGCTTTGCGTGTGTGGGCGCTGTCTTCACACACGTCCCAATGCGAGGCCGTTGTGGCTGTCGTCTTGGTATCTTGGTCTGTTCCCCACGAATCCATGTAAATTGCAGATGCCGTTATTTTTACTTCTTCCCTTCGATCTGTGGGATACCGACCGTCGTCCGTCGTTTCCGTGGCAGTCACGTTCTGTTTGCCGCCCAGCGGAAATTGCATTTCGTTATGGTACGTTGTCCATTGGTACCAGCATCAAATACTACGTCAGTGATGCGATGCACGAGTTTTTTTTCATTTCGTATAAGAGGGAGCGCCGATCTTTCTTGAGGGATGATTCGTCAAACACTTTTCTACGCAAGACATCCATCAGGTATTTATTTTAACTCCAGCAAGACGATACCGTAAACGTTGCTGTAGATTCGTGTCCATTTAGGTGAATTTCAGTGAGCCAGGCTGCACCACTGCTCAGAGACCTCATTGATGTGGATTTTTAATTGTCCTCGTCTCAGCACTCCCTGCGCCTTTTCGAATACTGATGCAACACCAACAAATAACACGAAATTGCACGAATTCTCCGAAAAGGCCGCAGTCAAAACTGCCTCCCTAAACCACACACCACCAGCCCTCTGGAATGTCGACAGTACCATCACGCTACAGAAGAGCGCGGAGTGATCAGAGCAGGGGCGTACTGCGTGCTAATCTGCGGAACGCCACGGTCGGCTTCGGCTCTGCGGGACCTGCCGGCAGTACCGCCACGCTACAGAAGAGTGCGGAGCGATCAGAGCAGGGGCGGACCGCGTGCTAATCTGCGGAACGCCACGGTCGGCTTCGGCTCTGCGGGACCTGTCGCCGGGCATCGCTACCCATTTTCCCCCGCCAGCGAACGCTTTCATCTCGCGTCTTTGTCGGCGACGTCACGGACCATCAATCGGAGCCGCCGGAAACGTCACCGCCGTCCGGAAGCGGCACACATCCGTCGTCGGAGGACCCCTCCGTGCCTGCCTCCGTCACCGCCCCGGGCAGTGTCGCCACGCCGCTGAGGCTCGCACCCCTCCACAAGCGTCAGCTGGTGCGCAGGGCTCACTACTCGGGGCTACCACGGTCAGCTAACCTCACCGACTTTTTCGTTCAACCTTCCAGGCGCTGAAGTTGGTGTAAAATTGATGCGTTTCCCTGACAGTATGTGAGTAAGCATATTGTGATAATGTCTCTTCCAGTCGCGGACAGCATCATTTTGAGGTGCTTGTGGCGAGGCTGCCATCCACTCCGCCTGAACTTCATCTGCCTATGGCAAGGTGATCAGTTCAGGGTTTTTCATCTTCCACCAAATGCAGGCACATCGGGAATGTCGTACAATATTCAAAAAGATTTGAAACAGTCAGACCGTGCAGAAGGACGAAGAAAACTTATCAGCATTACTTCGATGGCTACGCGACAAAAATAAATCGAATATTTATATGCAATACAATAATGAAGTCCTTGCATATTATGAGTGCGTCACATAAAGGTGCTATCAGAAAATGTTTCTGGATCCGTGATTGCGCCGTGATGCCTCGCAATCGCGCTAATGTAAATATCAGTGTGACTTCTTCAGGTCAAAACGTGAGAAAAACGCCAAAAGTGAGCAAGATACCTGTGTATTGCTTCAGATCGCTCCAAACAGGTCATGGTACGGGCAAGGCTGCAGTTGGATGATCGTGTCCGGCAAAATGGCCACACCTATTGTAAGGCATGACAAGGTGATTACTTTGGCACCTGGAAATCTCTTGACAGGGTCACCAGAAAATACAAAAAAGTCATGGAGTACGACGGAAGGCAGTGAAAAACTTAGCACTTAACCACAAAGGCCATTCGTCACGAATGACACGCATCCCACAGAACTGCTTGCTCAAAGGTGACTGGCACCGCGTCATGCTTAAGCTTAGACACGGCCTGATCTTTGAAGCGAAGCACACGGATGCCAAAAACGACCTCCCAAAAGAATAAAACGTTTCGACGTCTCAAGATACAGTAAAATAATCGGCTTTGGTGATTTGCTAAACGCATGGTACATTAACAGTGCATAACCACGGTCGGCCGATAACTCACAAGGAAAAGTCGTACGGTATCTATAATAAAAGTTTTGTAACACCTCATGTTAATCCATTTGAGTCTCTAATCTTACCTGAAGTGATTGCTGTTACCTTGCATCGAAAAACTACTCTCATAACGCAGGAAATTCGCAGCTCCAGAGCAAGTCCTCTTAACAGAACCACTTCAGCTGTGGCGAAAAGCCTGCAATTATCAGTTCACTCATGTGAGAACTCTGCTCTATGACAACGTTAAATTTTCACGATAAGCATGGATTTAGCCTACGTATTTCTGATACACAGCACCGATCTGAGCCTCATCATTCAACCAACGTTACATTACATACCTTGGGCTCATGCCTACAGCTCCTTTCGTGGTCTCTTGGCCTCCCGACGCGACAGGGTCCCAATCGACGAATAGTTTTCAGCTATATCTGCATTTCGCTACTGGTTTATTGATATACCCGAGCCACAACTCAACAAAAATTCTGCAAACAAGCGGGATCAGCTCCGAAATTTGCCATCCGTGGAATGTCCACAAAAATGAGGTGGGCACAGGTTGAACTGTTGGCTAAAATAAGTCGTAGATTGATGCGAACGTTTTGTTTTGCACATACGTACGCGTGAGATAGAAATAAAATTCCTTCACAAAACTCAACTTCGGTTGAGGACAAACGTTTACTGGGCAAGTCACCCATTTTCACTTATGTATTGACGTTGCATACGTAAAGCTGTTGGCAAGTCGCTCGTAAGTGCAGTAGCAACAAACTATTACCGGGAGTCTTGCTTGAGACAAACCATCCCATCACATATTTCTGTTTGGATTTCTCATCTATACGCAGCGATCCCTGAAGGAAGGCAGACGACACCGTGACCCGATGACACCCCGGCTACTCGGTGACACACCGGGTCACTCGGTGACACCCCACCGACAAATCGGTGGCGCTAGATGGGCGTCACCTGCTGAAACGTCAGCGTCTGCTGCGCGCCGGTCAGGTGCGGTCTGGGGACCCGCCGGCCAGCCGCCCACTAGCGCCGGCTGGCGGCCGCGGCAGAGCGACAAACGACAGCGTCCGCAGGTCGGCGGCAGGTAGCACTGATGCCGACAAGTATGGCGGCAGGGAGGCGGCCGGGCGCACGGCGGCGGTCCATGGCAGCGGCAGGGCACGCCGGGCACGAGGCGCGGGCGCGGCGCCCCATCGCCGGCGGACAGCGAGGGCGCGGCGTCCTGCCGCGCCGGCGGCCACGGCACCAGCTCTGCGCTCAGGCCGCGCGGCGGCCAGGACTCCGGTGCGTCGTTCGGTGCCGGGGGCGGCCACTCGGCGAACTCTGGCCGTTCGCGCACCAGCCGCCACTCGGCCGGCGCCGGCGCGAGCGGCACTGGCGCGCTCGGACGTCGCTGCCAGCCGAGCCGGCGCGGCAGCGAGAGGTAGGAACGAGGTGAGCCGCCCGTTACCTCCACCGGCGCCGCCGCCCCCTCCTCCTCCTCGTCCTTCCAGCGCACGCCCGGCTTAATGCGGTCCAGCGAGCGAGTGGTGGTGCCGCCGCGCCGCAGCCCGCCGCCGCCGCTGAAGCCGCTGCAGACGCCGCTGCCGCCATTCTGCAGCGCCACCTGCTGCGCTAGCTTCTGGCCCTTGCGCTCCCAGTCTCGCTGATGCCAGAAGATGTAGAGGAAGACCACGATGATGCCTGTGGGAGCGACGTACGTGGGTGACACATGGTCTCAAGGGCACCAGCGGGATCGGCAGATCCCATGTCATTACGAAACTCTTGCCGGATTTCACGCAGGAGGGCGAACGGCAAGATGGTAGTTATATGTGAGGCAGAACCGTGTGAGGTTTCAGGGCTCCATGTCATCTTTCAGGGCAATGCATGTCATTGTCCATCGAGAAAGGTCGCGGTGAGACGACAGGCGCCTCTGAAAGTGTACGCACTTTGGTGTCGTGAGAGAGAAAAAACAGCTCATGTGGAAACATTGGCATTGCGGTGCTGGAAACGCTGAAAAACGATTGTCATCGTCATCATCATCAAACATATTCCGCCACCGCATCCACTACCTGGACCCATTTTAACTTGCTGGATTTTTTTCCTGATGGGCATGGTGTGCGAGTTGACGACCACGCACCCAACTGCTGTGCTCTAAAAAAGTATTAACAAAGGAGCGTTTAACGCGCGCCCGGGTGGCCGGTGAAATCCCTGCGCTCGGGTGGAGGTGGGTGGTAATTTTAACCTTATGAGATCTTAAAAACCGAGACGGCTAGAGACACAAAATTTACAGGGTGGATTGCCCTGTACGTGAGCTCATTTGTGGCAAAATTTGATATCCAAGGTCATGACTTTTGGGTCACATGAGCTCAAAAATGTCAAACTCCATATTGCACTGCTTTAAAGTTAGATATAAGGTCTAAACATAGGTAGGGGCCAGCGACCTTCTTTGCTCTTTAAAAGATCAAGGTGATCAGATACCTACGAAATTGTTTCTATTTTGCCATTGGAATAAGCGTAATGAATTACGCTAGGCGATACATTCTTAAAAACGAAAATGCTGGCCTAGGTCATATTATGTCAGCGATCTACTCTGACCTTCAAAATTGCATGGTACATGTCTGCCGCGGTCGCCACCATTAACAAAGTGCTCGGGCGGGTGTCAAATTGACCCTCCCCCGGAAAGGCATTTTCCAGAATTATTTCCCAGCTGTGGGGCGTAGCCGCGGATAACCTTTGCAGACCTATGGAGAATTTAATAGCGGATTTTTCTTATTAAAAAAGAGATGTACCTTTCAAGGTCGCTGACCTATGGCAGGTCAAAGTCACACTTTGGCTTTCAGCGAAGGATGTTTCTAGGGAATCGTTCAATGCGATGCAAGAACGAAATATTAGACGAAACCATTAACATTTCATATAATTTATCCGGCAATAAATCAATAAATTCAAAATCCCAACCACTGCCTGCACACCCGACCTAGGGTCAGGTATGCAGGTCAGAACGAGGCCAAAACCTAACTGTTTTTTACTCGAGAGCTTGGTTTTATGGGGTAGAGTCTGGTGC